CCACTTCAATATTGTTGCCAGTAACTACATGGAGGCATCTATGAAGTTACCAGGAGCTGAGTTTGATTTAGAGCAGGGGTGTCAAACTCAATTTCATTGAGGGCCGCATCAGCATTACGGTTGCCCTCGGGCGGCCAGGTGGGTGTGGCCAGGGTGGGTGCAGCCTACTGGGTGGGTGTGGATGGAGTGGGTGTGGCCTAGTGGGTGGGCATGGCCAGCTCTACATCGTTCGTGTCAAGGGTGCCTGTGGGGCCCTGGGCAGGAGTGGGACAGATCTGAGGGTCTCTGGCAGAAGGGGGTGGGACCGGGGCAAGCGCCAAGGCATGGTCCATTTCTTCATTCCTCACAAAGGATGACACCTCCCCAGCATGTACCCAGGGGGCAGGGCCAACACAGCAGGGGCTGGTTCCTCGCTGTCTCTAGACGGCCTTGTGGAGCTAAGACTGAATGCGTTTCAGCATAGATGGCCACCACAAAATTGTACATTGGCTCCCGGCCGGCCTGGGCCAGGGCCAAGGCAGCGGGGGCCATTCCCTCACTGTTTCCAGGATGGCTTCGCGGGCCACATGAAACCACTTCGCGGGCCGCATCCGGCCCCCGGGCCTTGTGTTTGACATGTCTGATTTAGAGGAAACTCTACAAGATCATTAGATTAACCCACTGAATCCTAACAAAGACCTATCTACTTTTGCATCCTGCTTTTTTGCCAAGCCACCAGCCCCCCCTCCCCCCAAAAAATGAGTAGACAGCATCCTGTTGTTTATAGTTTCCAGTAACTGACATTTAGAATTACTTTGGCATTGGGTTCTTCAGCAGCTAGATGATTATGATAAAAGAAGTATCCACTGCAGGGATAATTTTGGTAACCTTTATCATAATCTTTGATATTCGTTTGTTTCTTTTGCTAAAAAAAAAGCCTAAACATTGTGCTATGGCCTATTGATAACTTTGGTTATCTGTTTCAGCATTTCCTCTAGTTTTGCAATATCCTTTTAATTAAATACTCAATAATTTTAAATTATTATGGTTAGATTCTTGAAAGAGAATTACATGTGTTGCCTTGTGATTTTCCTGAAGAGGAATCAATGGCAGATGGAAATCCATAGTGGAGTCACAGGAATAAGGCAGACTTAACTTATGCGGGACTAGAAGAACAGAAAGAGAGAAAGACAGAAGGAAAAAGAGAAATAGAGAAGACAATACCATTTTGTTTTGTCTTTTTCCCTTACCATTTTTGTATTTAGAATAATGGAAGAGTTTTTCAGAGAAGCTCTGAAACCTGCACATTACTATATATTCATCTTTTTCCCTGCTTACTTCTAGCATTCATTTCTAAATGGCAAAAGGGGGAAAAAAGATCAAGCAATTCGGTACAAAACAAGAACAAGGAGACCCAGACAATCTGGCTCATAAATATTTTAAGAGAATCTCTGTTCTTATTATCAAAAGCAAGATAGCCTACTTTCTCTTTAGGCATGCACTAATTAATTGAGAACTGTTGCTAAAGTATTTTTAAGCAACTGGACTACTTGTCTTTTTTCCCCACTGAAAAAAAAATGAGATTCCAGCAAGTTTTAGAACACAGGGCTATCTTTTTTCATGAAAGGCATGGGCATTTGTTAAGCTGATAATCATATGGAAAGGAAGCTTGTGACTCTGGTGCTATGATATGTGTGTGCGCTGCTGAAATGGGAATACTTTCAAACAACCATGCAAATGGAAGCAGAATGCTATTGTTTGTTAATTGGACCCCTGGTGCACACAGGCTTATAAACATCCCTTGACCATGGCAATTTCTGGGCCCTTCATTCTTCAGACTGCTGTACTTTTGCAGTTAGGTTAGGTAACCTAGAATAATAAGACTGTATGTTACTCTGAAATCAAGGTTATTCATGTTCAGTAGAAGCAAAGCAAGCCTTCATTGATTATATGCTCTAAGGCAGTATTTCTCAACCTTGGCAAACTTGAAGACTGTGGACTTCAACTTCCAGAATTCCCCAGCTAGCCATGTTATGCTGGCTGGGGATTTCTAGGAGTTGAAATTCACATGTCTTAGAGTTGTCAAGGTTGAGAAGCACAGCTCTATCAGCTAATGTTCTTCAATTTTGTAGAAATAATAATTTTGTAATGTGAGGTCTGTCTAATCTGCACTAGGTAGTTGTACTGCTCAGATTGCTAAATAGAATTGTTTTTTCATGGTATCAATTTAATACCTCTGATGAAAAGAAAAGAAGAAATACTGCCTACCTATATTGTTAATTAATCTACATTAGTTCAACATCAAGACTGGAACAAACTAAGAACGGAAATACAAGCCACAATCAACTTCTGGGCCTGGTCCTGCTTCAGTTTCTTAATTATGTTAGCTTTGGAATTCACTGATATTATTTGATCTGACTATTCTTTATCCAGCCTGGTGATTCAATATTTATAGATTTTGGCAGGGCCTGACTTCTTCTCCACTTCCTTCCCAAGAAAGTTAATATGTTATATGATTTGTTCTGCTTATTTAGATGCATAGGCAGTCCTTAACGACCGTAATTGAGCCCAGAGGTTGTCATTAAGCATCATGTGACCACACCCAATTTTATGACCTTTTTTGTGGTAGTTATTAAGTGAACACTGCAGTCATTAATTGCATGCTGAAGTCATTAAATGAATCCATTTTATCCAATGGGCATTTTTTTTGGCAGAAACCTCAGAAATCTTGGAAAATCAGCAAAAAATACCAAAAAATGCAGTCATATGAATGCAGAACAATACAAATAGCCCTAAATGCAAGACAGTTGTCAAGAGCCCAAGAGGCAATTACTTGATCATGGGGGAAGTATGTGGCCATGGAAACTGGGTCATAAGTACCTTTGGGGGTCCATCATAACTTTGGATACTAAGCAACTGGCCATTAAGCCAGAACTACCTGTAGCAAGTTGTTTCTCATACGTAGGGAAGCTGAATTTAATTTCATCTGCATGTCTAGATCAGTTACAAAAGAATCTGTTGACCTCTTGCTCCTGAACATAGCCAATCATCCATAATTGTCAAAATTTTAACTCATTTTAACTTTAACTGGAAGACCTGCTTCTTCCGGTTATTCATCTCTAGGAAGCTCACTGGAACAAATCAATACAGCTTAAAATTTTCCCCGACTGCAAGTTTAACTGCAATCGCAATGCATGCATTCAAAAAAATGAAGACTGTGTTATTACTTGACAAAGTGAGATGTCTATTATTATTATTATTATTATTATTATTATTATTATTATTAAATTAAATTTATACCCCGCGCTTCTCCCGGAGGACTCAGGGCGGCTTACAGCCAACTTAAAAACAATAATACAATATAATACAAGATAAAGGTGGCAGATTTGAAGCAAATGGTCAATTAATTTAACTTCTTAATCTTGCATTTCTGTAAAAGCATTTTTATCTTTAGATATAAAATTGTCCTTAGAACTGGGCATATTCAATTTGATATAGGTTGTATTGTTGTAAAGAGGCAACTTGAAATCTTAAAAGAATTCCTTGGCATCAAGGACTACTACATATGCGTAGCAAAATTCCACATGATCACTAGGTGGCAGCAAAGAGACACAAAAACCCCAAGATTTATTTATTTGTTTGATTATTTATTTAGGCTTATATGGCACTCCAGTTGATAACAGCTCTGCATTGTTTACATTCTCAGTACTAAGACAAAATGCAATCAATTCCCAACATCCAAAATTAGAAAAATGTCATAACCTACAAGCAACTCGACCTAGCAAGGTACCCAACCTTTATTGCCGGTGAATCCAACAGGTACTGTGCCTCCCCCATGGCATACTTAACTAATCTCAAAGTGCCTAATCACTGGAGTGTCTTTACTCTGTATAGTACAATGTCAGACTCAGGGACAGCTGTCCTTGAGAGCGGATACAAGAAAGTTCCCTACCCAGATTGGTGATGCCCTGTGACTCTGGCTCATGGAAACAACAGAGCATGTATTCCTCCAGTGCCTGCATTACAGAAACACTTGTACTAGCCTCATCTCACTATTATTGCATAAATTCCCAAGGCACACAGGCCAATTCTACACCTTCCTGCTGCTTTCAGATACTAACCTGCTACAACACACAATGTTGCCAGGTTTCCCAAGCAGTGGTTAAAACCCACCTGATGATGTGTAATAGATTTAGTTTGCCAGATATTAACCATATGCTCTCTCCTTCACCAATCTAATGTTTTACCCCTCCTTTTAGGCTTTTGCTTTTATATGTATAGTATATTTGTTTTATAGTTCTCAGTTTTTTATAATTAATATTATTTTTAAAAACCTTGAGGTATTATTTTATTCTTTTAATTGACTGTACCCCGCTCTCCTTATGCTGGTCTTTGACCATAATAAATATTTGATTTGATTGGACAGTCAACTGGCACTGCCTATACTCAGGACCATCACAGCTTACTTGCTCCAAAGATTGTCTAGAAAATTAAGTTTTAATGGATATCAGGAACTACAACAAAGATGAGTCAACATTATCTTCAGGGACATACTTTTCCAGAAGAGGGGAACCACCACAAAGAAGATTCCTGCTCTGGCTCTGCAGAAGGCCTTTCCTATTGAATCTCACCAAGTTGGCAGAACCCACTGTTGTCTATTATTCAATTAGATGTTTGCTGATGTATTGAATTAATCTAGTATTAAATATGTAAAGATTTATGGCAGCAAGAAAAAAAGTCACATAATTGTGGCATCTAAAAAAAGCTTGTGACTGGTACTAAGTTGCTGAACATATGAGGATATGAATTGCTTCTCTGATCTTGCTCATACAAACTCTTAATTATTATACTTGTCAGTATTAAATATAGATAGTGCTCATGTTTTACAACCATTGAAGACAAGGTTTTCCTCCAGATTTCTCTTTTGTTTTTTTTCCTCTGGATTCTTTTATATGACTATTGAGGACTTCAACATTTACTACAGTATATTGCAAATCCCTACAGGAAAAACAAAACCACTGAGATTAATTTCTTCTTTATTGGAATGAAAGATATGTCACAGCTTTTTGTTGGTATATTTCCCCTTTGAATAGATAAATATATGTCAATTTAAGAACAGAATACCAAGTGGTACAATGAATATTGCTAGTAGAAGTAATAAATAATAACTCTTGGTTGCCTCTGCGCTTTGCCTGCTCAGAGACATTGAACAACGAAAGGCATATTTATAGATCATCCTGTACAGTTTGAAGGCTGCAGCCCCAATCACTGCAGTCCATAACTCCTAAATAGCAATGTCGGTATTACCAATATTATTTGCATTCTTGTCCCTTTTGCAATAAAAATACTGGTTCCAGATTTGCAGGAATGTGGTCCTGAATTTTTTAATCCTAAATGCATAAACAATGGGGTTCATGGCTGAGTTCCAATGAGTCATACATATAGCAATAGAAGTGAAGTATCCCAAAGCCTCAGATTTAACAGAGAATAGGTTGATACAGTTGCAAATGTGCAGAGGAAGCCAGCAGAGAGCAAAAAGGAATAGCACCAAGGCAAGAGATTTAGCAATTTGCAGTTCCTTCCCATAATATTTTTCTGGGTATGCTGAATTGGAGCCAAACTTTTTGTTGAGTTGCTTGCGAATTATCTTGAAAACCTCTATGTAGATGATGAGCATAAGGACCAGTGGAGGCAGCACCCACCCGAAGAAATTGAAATACACCATGTATTCCATGGTGATGACTCTCTCAAATTGGCAAGAGTTGTTGAAGGTGTAGTTTTTCTCTCTCAGTCTGTTCCAGCCAAATAGTGGAGTCATGCCCACAAGGAAGGAGATCAGCCAACAGCATCCAATAGCAACCCCTGCACGTTTGGGGGTCATCACATTCTTATAACTGCAGAAAGAAAGAAAGAAAGAAAGAAAGAAAGAATAAGATTGTGGCATTACAGAAATAGCTACACTTGTGTCTCAGTTAATTTCCCTTCTTATTTCTAATCATTATTTATTTATTAAGGCAGAGTTTCTCTGCACTTCCCTTCTATTTCTAGATTATTCACATCTAGTTTTTCCCCCCATTACTTTCCCAGCCTTCCCACAATCTTTCACAAGGAGGGCTGTTTTTTTAATGAAATTTTCTTAAAACAATACACAATCTTATATTTTTCCAGTAGCCAGAAGAGATTTATGACCATCATAATAATGCATAACCATTGTTTGAACCAAAGGATCCTAAAAAAAAGGGAGATAGAGATGCTTGGCTATACCACAAGTCAATTAATAAGGCCGGCTTATTCAGAATTAACCTGATGAGAGAAACTAGGCTTGATGAGGACCAATTGTGCTCAGATAGGGTCAGAGATTTCTAGTGTTCAAGGAGCAGCCTCAGCACAACAAAGCAGATGCAACAAATTGATTAGTGGGAAATCTGTGCCTTGACTCCCAATCTAACAAACTGTTCTGTCCCCGTCTGATACACACACCCAAACAGCCAGCCGAGGGTTAAATAACTTCTCCACACTCCACGCCACAGATAAGAAACTTGGCAGCAGCTCCGTAGCTGCCTGCCAAGAACTTTTACTCAGAGAACACAGAAACAAAAAACAATACACACAGTTTGAAATTAAATCCACAGCAAACTACTTCGCCAGAGATTTAGCTTTGTCCGTCACAG